GGGGGGGGGGGGGGGGGGGATGCTGTTCCAGAGGGTGGGGCAGCAACAGAGAAAGCACTTCCTCAGTCCTGCAAGATAACGTTTAATAGAGGAGACCTGGAGTGCATCCACTGTGTCGAAACATGTCAGGGAGAAACAACTGGAGACAAACCGTCCCTCAGATATCCAGGCCCTATGCCATACATGGTAATAACCAGGACCTTGCATTGCACTTGGAAGCCGACTGGCAACCAATGCAGCTCACATAGCAGTGGTGACACACGAGCATGCCAACAGGTGCCCATTACTGCTTGCGCCACTGCATCATAAGACAGTTACATCTTTCTTTTGACAGCTGAGGACAACCTGTATGCTTAAGACAATGGTCATCATTTAAAGTTAAATGAATAAATAAAACAGAGGGAGAAATTAAAACTAGATTAACAAGACACCTGAAGTGAAGCTTTCTGCAGTCTGCTTTGTCAAACATCCATTCAAAATCCCACACATTTTAGGAAAGCTGTCCATACAATTCCTGAAATGCTTAGATGCTAATTTTTACCAGACTTGCATTTATTGGACTTATATATCATTCACCAGGTTTTTTATTATCTTAGAGAAAATTAATATGAAATGTTAAAAGAAGGGCAGGCATTAAACCACAATAAGAGAACAGTATAAAAAAAAGCTGAGAGCCAGTTGTACAGTCAAGAAGGATCACATGAAAATGGCAGATAAAGAGAAAGGAGGCTTATATCACAATCTTATACAACGGTAGTAATAAGTGAGACAGTCTGGAGTAGCGTTTAAGGCACCAGGCCTAGAAACCGGGAGACCATGGGCACGAAGCCAGTTGGGTGCCCTTGGGCCAGTCCCTCGCTCTCAGGCCTAGGAAGAAGGCAAGGGCAAACCACTTCTGAAATCTTGCCAAGAAAACTGCAGGGTCTCGTCCAGGCAGTCAACCCGGACTCGAAGGCACAGATGTAGTACTGTTAAGTCCTACCAGGTAAGTGTGACCAGATGGCATTTTTCTTTCCCTCCCATATCTAAATGGCGGTGTGAACTTGTCAATCAATCCCACCGCCTGTCCTGTCGAGGGGGGCACCTGAACGAGTCTGCGGCCTGAGGCAAGCGACTATCTCACAAGCCTCTGTGACCAAACCCGTGTCTTGCACAGCCACGCAAGAGCAGGGAGAACCAGAAGGGCAGAACTCAGAGCCTCCCGGGCGGAACCAGCCGGTCTGGTAGGCACGTGACGCGGCACCACGTGACGCGGCGGCAGAGGCGGGGGGGGGGGAAAGTCTGGAAGTTCCCCCGCACCCTCTTTTCCCCCGCGGCCGGCTCCCCG